AGGTTATCACTATTAGATTATTTTTTATCATTGTTGTTATATTAGTATCATCGATGTTATCATTATTATTATTATCATTATCATTATCATTATAATAATAATGATAACAATAAATCATTATTATTATCATTATCATTATTATTATTATTATCATTATCATTATTATTATTATTATTATTATTATTATTATCATTACATTATGTGTATATGTAACATATATACTTATACACACACATATAAACATATGCGTATATATATATATATATATATATATATATATATATATATATATATATATATATATATATATATATATATATATATATATATATACATATATACACATATATGTATGCATATATCATATTATCATCATTATTACTATTATTATAATTATCATTAATATTATTATCATTACAATTATTATTATCATTATATTTTTTATGTTTCGTAATATTATCATTATCATTGTTATTATTATTATCATTACTTTTACTATTATTATTATAATAATTATTATCATATTGTTATTATCATTATCATCACCAGTTTCAACCATCGTCATTCGCATCATCATTGTTAGCAATATCATTATTATTTTTATTTAGATTATCATTAGTTAAAATAGTAGAGGTATTGTTAATGCAATTATCACCAATATCTGTAATATTACAATTAACATTATTACTAAACCAGCTATCATTATTATTGTTATTCTCCTTACTATCTTTATCATTGTTACCATCAGTAATAGTACTTTTATTATCTTTTTTATCATTATCATTAGTATTATTAATACCATCATTAGCATTATCAACATAATTATTATCATCACTAGCATTGTCATTACTTATATTGTTTTTATCATTATCATTATCAAGGTCTTTATTATTGTCATCATAATTATCATTACTACTATACTATTTTTGTTGTTATTACTTTCGTAATCATTACTATCATTAATACTATTGTCATTATTATAATTGTTGTTATTATTATTATCATTACTGCTATCATTATCATTGTCAACTTCGTTAACAACATTATAATTGTTATTTCTATCACTATTGCCATTATCATGCCATCATCCATATCATTACAATTATAATATTTTTACACCATTATCACTATCATCATTATCCTTATTATCATTATCATCATTACTATTACTGTTATTGTTATTATTATCATCATTATTTAGTATTACCATTATATTACTTATCATCACCGTTATTATTATTATTATTATTATTATTATTATTATTATTATTATTATCATTATTGCTATTATTATTATTATTATCACCGTAATCATAATCATTATTATCATAATTATTATTATCGTTATCATCGATAGTATCATAATTATTATATATTTTACTACATTTAATTATCATTATCATTATTATGATTTTTTATCATTATTTTGTTGTATTGTTTGTGATATTATTATCAATATCATTATTCTATCAATATTATTATATGTTCATTGTTGTTACTATTATTATCATCGATATCACTATAAGTATATTATCGCTAATAATACTCATGATAAAGCTGATGATATTCATAATATTAATAGTAATGATGATGAGGATGATAAATCTAATTATAATAACTATGGTGGTGGTGATGATGATAATAAAATGATAATATATTATGTAATGATGATGATGAATGGTAATAATAACAATAATAATAATAATAATAATAATTAACAACAATTGTAGTTGATTATTATCATCTTACTAATCAAGATAACAATAAAAAAATAATAATGTTAATAATAAAAATAACAATATTATCATTAATATTAATATCAAGCATGGTAGGCCTAATAAGCACTACCATATAAAAACAGCAATGAAAAAAGACTAAAAGAATTAATAATGATAACAATAATTAAACAATAATTATTTAAACAAAAAACATTATTCTTTTCCTATTTCTGTTATATGATTATTATCATTATGGTGACCATTATCATCACTTTCATTATTGTAATTATATTATCATTATTTTCATTATCATTATATATTATAATTATCATTTATTATTGCTATTATTATTCATTATTATTATTACCATTATCATTATATTATTATCAAAATTATCATTATGTTATTATCCTCATTGTTATCATCATTATTGTTAGTAGTAGTAGTAGTAGTATCACTGTTATTACTATTATATTATTGTTTTTACAATTATCTTATTACTATTTATTACTATCACATATTTTAATCATTCTATTATTTATCATTATCATCATTTTTTTATCCATTATCATTATTATCTATTCACGTTATTATCCCAATAATAATGATGATAATAATGATAATGATAATGATAATAATACTGATAAATATGATATATATAATAATATTATAATAATAATAATAATATTATATTATAAAATAATACATAATACAAATAATAATAATAATAAAATAATAAAATAATATTAATAATAATAATAATAATAATAATAATGATAATAATAATAATAATAATAAATAATAATAATAATTAATAATAATAATAATAATAATAATAATAATAAATAATATAATAATTAATAACAATGATAATAATAATAATGATAAAACAATAGAAAAAATAATTAAATATTACTAATAATGAAACAATAATATAATAAGTATAATATTAATGCTAATAAGCAATAACAATAACAATAATAATAATAATAATAATAATAATAATAATAATAATAATAATAATAATAATAATAATAATAATAATAATAATAGTAATAGTATAGTAAGTAATAATAATAATAATAAAAATAATAATAATAATAATAATAATAATAATAATAATAATAATAATAATAATAATAATAATGGCAATTTAATGCATCTAAAACCAATAAAGAAAGAGATTAAATAAGCCTTTAAAAATTCGCGCACTGTGGCCATCATCAATCTGCTATTCAACTCAAAAGGCAAAGAATCAAAATAATATCTTGTCATGAAAACGCAATTCCAATGCTAGCCATACACTGACTGATTGCGTCAATAAAAAGGGTAATGATATTTATGACGCTCATAATGGTAATCGTTAGAACAATCACGATGACAGAATCAATAATGTAAATATTGACTTTAACAGTGATTATTTAATGTGATAATAATTTCTTTAGAATATTAAACATTAAACAAAATATTGCTATCAACGGCGCTGATGGTGATAGCAATAAGAATAATTATTATAATTATAATTAGATTAATAATAATAATAATAAATATATTATCGTTATCATCGCTATTATTACTATCATTATTATTATTATCATTATCACTATTATTATTATCATTATTATTTTTATTATTATCATTATTGTTATTATTGTTACTATCATGATAATAATAATAATAATAATAGTAATAACAAAACAACAAGAACAATAATAATGATAGTAATAATGATTATTATTATCATTACTATCATAATGATTATGCTGATAATAATCATAATAATGATAATAGTAATGACAACAACAGCAACAATGATAATGATATTAAAAAAAATAATAATATCAATTACTATCATCACTATTATGATGTTTAATATTACCAATTCTATAAATCTAAAAGATAATATTAACAACAAAAATTATAATAGCAATAACAGTAATAGTACTAATAATAGTAATAATAATCATCATAACAATAATAATATCAATAAAATATTTGATAGTAACAATAATGATATTATTGAAAATAATGATAGTGATGATGATGATGATAATAATAATAATAATAATAATAATTATAATAAGAAGAAGAAGAAGAAGAAGAAGAATGAAAATAATCATAATAACAACGATAATAATCATTACAATTATAATAATGATATTCTAATCATTATAATAATAATATTGACACTACTACTATTACTTCTACTATTACTACTACTGCTACTACTACTACTACCAGCAACAACAATAACAATAATCCTAATAATAGTAATAAAACTCGCGACACAATGCGACCTAGCATCACAAGAACACTGGACTACCTTCTAAGTTTGACTAATAATCATGATAACGATAATCTTAAGGTCTATACAACTGCGTATTTACTTAATATTCACACACCTATTATCCTCTACAAATCCGGAACAAGTGAGAAATCGAAAAGTAAAATTCCATTCATCCATTTCATCCATTTCGCATCTCTGTTCAGACCCGGAGCGCCCTCTTCGGTCCCTGAATCCAGACTGCATTTGAACCCAATAAACCCTTGTCAAGAATTCCTGTGCGAAAGCTTTACCGGGATAGAATTACCGGGGTGATAAAATTCCACAGAAATGACGGACAATGATACTATTAAGACCGCATGCATCCTTGAGGTTCGTGGGGGGAGGGGGGGCGGGGGTGTGTTGCTTGGTAACTTTATATCAGATGATACCACGTGTCGAAACAGCGTTTAATACATTGGGGGGAAAATAGTGCGGCTGATCGTGCGGTTGACATGTGGCCCGAATGTCCTTTTGTGTTTAATGATTTTCGCGTTTTGAAATCACGTGTTTTTTTCTCTTTTTTCTGCGCTCAAATATTTTTTTTCTGATACTTTATAGCTCCTTGTTTATTCTAACTTTCTAATGTTGTTGAACGGGAAATGCTTTGTGATTCCGTAGAATTTCACAAACCTAGAAATCTACTGGAAATCGGCTGTAAGACATTACAATCTCCACATACTTTATGATTATTATGCTAAATGTTACACACTGCCCTGAAAAAATACTCCAAAAGGAGTTTGATCACTGAAGAGCCTTTGCTCCAAAAACTACCGAAAATCACTCTCGCTTTTTAAAATAATTATTTGAAATTAGAAAACATTTATCACCTTTTACACATATATTTCTCTATCGTATGACTGACAACTGTGTGCATCGTCCCTAGCCTCGTGCAACAGTGACTGCAACAGCAGCACGGGCCTCCAACTCACGGCATAATCTGTCATCAAAGTACTTACCCAGTACATTTCCTGCGGTGCCCCGGAATCTTCGTACAAACCCATCAGAATACCCGTCCACACGTCTCCACCACTTTCTACCCTTCTCCCGACTTCACTCAAACCAATTCTAGCATCACTTCTGCATTTATCCAACTTTTTTCTCTCCTAATTTCCGTCCGCTTGCGTATTTGTTCTTGGATTATAACACACCAACAGTTTTCGGCCACCACACGGATGTCCGCGCACCCGCTACGCTCCCAGTACGCACGACCAAGCGCAACTGTTTACAAAACCACTCCAGCGGAGTCAGCCAACCACGCGTGGGGAGAAGGCGGGGCCTATTTGGCATCGCCCAATAGAGAGCGTAGATGGCGGAGCGAGTAATAATTTCAAAGCAGGTGATTGGCCGAAATATCCCCGTGTTTCTGACTGAGGAGACGTGTTTTTCAGAATCTCCGCCTCGGAGGAGGAGCCTCGGCGGACGGGTTGGGATGTTGTGCGGGCAAGAGGGACGTAAGTTTTTTGGTTAACTGCCTCTCTCAATGAAAATGATAAGTATTATCTGTATTTGCGGAATTAAAACCGAAAAGTTGGTTCAAGGGTAAGAAGTTAACAAGTTTAACTCTAAGGAAAAGAAGCGCGTCCATGTGGTAGTCGCAGCCATGGAGGGGGATCAGGACTATATGAACAAAAAGCAAAAAACGAAAAATTTATCCTGGCTCGCTACCCCCTCACAAGACGCCCTTCGTTTTCGACTATTGTTATAGCCACAAGAATGGTGTGGTGGCGAGGGGGAGGGAGGGAGGGGGAGGGAGGGGCCCCCGAGACACAGGAGTAGCAAATTGTTTATTCTTTGATTTATTTATTCTTGGCCGATAGAAATAGCTACATTGACCTAGTACAAAACACATATATGTGTGTGTCTCTATGTAAATATGTATGTGTGTGTGCATATGCATATACGTGTGTGTGCGTGTGTGTGTATATATATATATATATATATATATATATATATATATATATATATATATATATATATATATATATATATATATATATAATATATGCATATATATATATATACATATATGCATATATGTATACGTTTTGCGTGTATATGTGTGTATTTCATTATTCAGATATAAACACACACACACACACACACACACACACACACACACACACACACACACACACACACACACACACACACACACACACACACACACACACACACACACACACCACATACACACATACACATACACACATACACACATACATATACATATATATATATATATATATATATATATATATATATATATATATATATATATATATATATATACATATATATATATATATATACATATATTATATATATATATATATATATATATATATAATATATATATATATATATATATTATATATATATATATATATAATATAGCTGTGTGTGTGTGTGTGTGTGTGTGTGTGTGTGTGTGTGTGTATGTGTGTGTGTGTGTAAATATATATATATATATATATATATATATATATATATATATATATATATATATATATATATATATATATATATATATATATATATATATATATAATATATATATATATATTATATATATATATATATATATATATATATATATATATTATATATATTATATATAAATATATATATATATATATATATATATATATATATGTATTATATATATATATATATATATAGTTTATTTATTTATTTATTGTGTGTGTGTGTGTGTGTGTGTGTGTGTGTGTGTGCATATATATATATATATATATATATATATATATATATATATATATATATATATATATATATATATATATATATAATATATATATATATATAGATATATATGTATATATATATACATATATAGCATATATATATATATATATAATATATATATATATATATATATATATATATATATATATATATAATATATATATATATATGTATATGCAGTGTGTAAATATATATATATTCCTACCTCACTCACACCCCTCACCTACCACTACCCCCCTTCACTCATACTATACTATAACATATGTACTCCATACCCCCCCTACTACATACTCCCCCTATATCATCGCTCTTCATTTCATGTACTTCTATCTTGTGTCGTCCCTGTGCTTGCGTGCTGTGGTGTGTTGTGTGCTCGCGTGTGCATTATCCCCTACTCACCTACCCCTCTACTCCCATACTCTACTATATACTATATATACTACTACTACTATCCTCATACCTCACCCACCCCCTACTACCATATCCCTACCTATACCCTATCACGACACATACCTCTATATATTGCCCCTACATCACTCACTCTACCAACCTACCCCTCACATATACTCCCCCACCCTATACTCACCCTACTACCCCCTATCCCCTCCACCTCACCCCACCTCATAAGCTACAACTAGTGAGATGTGTGTGAGGTGGATCTCCGTCACATCTCATCCACACTGAATTATAACCGTATTTCTACTCATCCACCGTATACAAGCCACAACGCACAACACTAACCCTATACTATAATAATATATGTATGCGTATTTACCCATGCCTAAGACACATCCCACATCAGCGAATCCAGCGCTACGTGAGAGACCACGCGAAACCACACGAGAAGAACACCAAGCTAGAACACGATCCATAAAAGTTGACGTATCATCAACATAATTAAGCATCAGATGTTACCTGAGCTTTTGAAGAAAAAAATGAAGCATGCCAGTTTGCAAATAACTTTAAAATTCATGCATTGGATATTGGGGAAATGAATTATAGAAAACATTAATTCAAGTTTGCATTAATATGCTTTCGCACACCGGATGCTCATCGAAAAAAAATCATTAATATTCTTCTCCTAAGAAGGTGCATTGTGTTCGATGTACATTTCCTTTCCTCAGTTTCTCTTAGATATTACTAAGTACTCATACACTCACTCGCAGACACACACAGACGAGCCACACTAAATACATACAGACACGCATGAAAACAAACAAAGATTATAACACAATAGTAACACTAGCACACACACACAAACACATGATAGAAATATAAGAATCGTATCAAGAAGATAGAATATAATTATAACAACAACTGAAAACACAACACATAAAGAAAAATTCATATATTCACGACAAGCAAACTACACAACACAACCTCACACACCATCACACACACATAAGAGAATATATATATATAAATAATAGAAAATATAATTATAAAATAAATAGATAATATATATATATAAATGATTTAATAGTAATTAATAAGAGATCTAATAATAGTAATAATAAATATAATATATGGAATAATAAATAGATGTTCAAGAATTTATAGCCAACACACACATCAAACACAACTCACACAAGATAAAATATCACAACACTATATGATAAAATATATATGTATATAACTATATAGAATAAATATAATATATATATATTAATAACTTATAAAGTAGAAGTAATATATTATGTCGATTATATTTATAACGAAAATTATATATTTTAGTAATATATATAATTATATATATAGATAAAAAAAATTATAGAAAATATTAATAAAATAAGTATAAAATAAAGTAATCAATAGTAGAGAAATAATTAAATATAAATAAAACTTGACTCATATACATGTAATATATTATATATATAATATTTATATATATATATATACCACTGAAATAACAATATATAATAATAAGTATATATATATAAGAATATAAACAATATATACCAATGATACCAAAATAAATAAATAAATTAAAAAATCGTTTAGTCCCTACTGTTATAATATATATATATATATATATTATATATATTCCTATATATATATACATCACTATTCTAGACCTTTTCCTAAGCACATATATACATATATAGTATATATATATATATAAATATATATATATATGTAATGTATATATAATATATATATGATATAAATATACCATATGTGTATATATATATAATATATATATATATATATATATATATATATATATATTATATATATATACATATATATATATATATATTATATATAATATATATATAATAATTGTATATTTATATATATATATATATATATATATATTAACATATAATAATATATATATATACTATATATATATTTATATATTACATATATATAATACTATATATATATATATATATATATATTATATAATATATATATGTAAGTTATATATATGTTATATATATTATAAATATATAATACCCGTATAATCAAAAGTATATAGCTGTCGCGCTACCTATGGAGTCATATCACCTATCTCATATATATATATATCTATCCTTTCACCATTATCGCCTTATACTTAGTCTATCACAAGAACATACTCACATAAATGAGTGAGTCACACATGACAAGGGCCATATAGTAGAGTAATACATTATGTATTAGTCTAGATATGGTTATAAGATAGTATATTATAATACGTAAGGAAATTATAAAATATGTCTTATATATATGTATTACGTACCTCTGGTAGGTAATAGTATATATATCATAACTATATACGAATAAGTGATAGATATATATACTATATATAGTATGATTAATATAGGGTAGTGGTGTATTATATATATAGGGATCTCTCTCTCTCTCTCTCTCTCGAGTTCTCTCTCTCTTCTATAATATATATTATATATTATATATATATATTAGGTTATATATATAATAGTATATGAGTTATATGATATTATAGGGGTTATAGGCCACACCAACACACAACATATATAGTTTTGTATATACATATATATAGAAATGAGATATAGAGAGTAAGTAGTGAGAAATAGTGAGTTATAGAGTAGAGAATATATATATGATAATAGGGGTAAGGCATAATATATATAGTGAGAAGTAAAGTAATTATATAAGGTATATAAGATTGTGGTTATTATATATAAGAGTAGGGTATAATATATATATATGAGGTAGGTAGATATATAGGAGGTAAATGAATTTATAAGGGTTATAGAGAATAAGTATTTAGATATATAGCATAGTGAGTATAGAGAGTACATAATATAAGAATTATATATATAGTATATATATAGGTATAGGTATATTATATATAGTATAAGTATATATAATATAGATAGATGTATAGGTTGTAAGTATGTAGTGTAAGTATAGTAAGTAGAGAGGGTATATATATATGAGTATATATATACAGTTGTATAGTGAGTAAGGTATATAATAG